GCCGTGCCGCAGGTAGCCGGAGACACTTGGTATACTTTAGGGGTACGGACTGACTGGACCACCACCGCTAACCCTGGTGGCGGCGGAGCTACGACGTACACATACTCAGTGGCGGCTATGAACATGAACACAGGGGCGACGGCACGGGACAAGCTCACAGGGGTCGGGCGTGGCGTCAAGGACATCTGCGGCGCCACTCTCTTCGGCGCTCAAGTGTTGTGCTATGGTGATATCACGAAGCCATGCTCTGATTACAGTGTGGCTGCCTACAATTCTCGGAGGTGTCGCACTATCTGCACCAAAATTGGCGACTACTCACCTGTTAAGTCTGTCAGCGGTATCTATGGTTACAGCCAGGGCAACTCGCTTATTTGCGACGCACCTATGTAAGAGGCTACATTAAAGGAGATATATATTACGACCTAACTCTTATGGTTGCGACAATGGGCCTACAGGGCAGGCGTAACTGGATTAACTATAATCCAAACAGCTAATACTATCTTGCTTGCCTCACTCATTCAACAAGCCCGACAAGCAATTCTTTTTACGCTTATACCACAAGTTATATAAACCTAAAATTAACTATATAAGTTACATTCTCTACACTCATTTACAATACTTAAATAGCTAGTTATAAATATAAAACAATACTTTATTATATTTATAAAGTATCTTCTACTAGTTATATAAATACTGTTTTTCTATATATATTACCTACCAGTTTAACTTAATTTATTTACTAATATAAACTTAATATATAGTTTATCCTTTAGGAATCCCTTTTATATTAATTTATAAAAAACTAATTTATTATTTATTTATAGTTTTTATAAAAGTTAAATTTAATATTAAAATAAAAGGTTTAATACTATAACAGCTAGTTTAATAAAAGGTTATACTTTAACTTTTAGTTTAAAATTTACAGTTAATTTATAATTTAATTTAATTAATAATAATTAATTAAATTAAACTTTAAAAATTTAAGTTATATTATTAATAAAAGTATAAAAAGTATAATTATTTATTAAAGTTTAAAATTAAACTTAAAATATATATATATAAAAGCTTAAATAATAAAGTTTAAATATAATATAAAAACTTGAAGTTATAATTTAATAATTTAATTAAAGTAAAAAAAACTATTTATTTATTAAATAATAAAAAGTAATAATGATTTTTAAAAATAAATTATATTTTTTTTTAAAAATCTTTTAATAAAATACTATAATATAAAAGTAAAAATTTTTATAGTAAAAAATAATTTAATAGTTAATTAAAAATTTAATATATAAATAGTAAAAATAACTAAAAGTAATAAAAAACTATTTATAATTATAATAAAAATAATAATTATTATAATAAAAACTAATAATAAAAATATAATTAAAATAGTAAAAAAAATATATTAAAGCTTTAAAAATAAATAAAGTAAAAAAAGAATTTAAATTATTTATAAAAGAAAAAATATAAATTTATTAAATTAGTTAATAGTTAATAGTTAATAATTAATAATTTAATAATAATTATTTTAATTTTAGTTTTTTTAAATAATTTATTTTTTATATTTAAAAGAAAATAATTAATTATTTAATTATTTAAATAAATATATAAATGTAAATTTAAATATTTAATTATATATTTTAAAATTAATATAAGTTAATATTAATTTATATTAATTTTTTTATATATTAAAAATATTAATATTAATTTTTATTAACTTAATGTTAATTAATATATTAATTATATAATTCTTTAAAAGTATTTAGTTTATAAATTTATTATTATAATTATAAAAGTTAAGTTATAATAATATAATTTAAAATAATTAAATTTAAATTAATTAAATATATAAATTTATATTAGATGGGATTGAGGCATTAACTAGCCTGCGTACCGTTAGGTACCGTTATATTATACTATACCGTCTTAATGCTATATATAAGTAAAACAATGTATACGTTAACGCTAATATTGCTTAGCCCTTTAAAATATAAATAACTTATAAATACTGAATGTATTATGTAGATAGACATTTATATATATAATATAAGTGTAATACCCGCTAAAGGCGTCTATAAGGTAAGTAAAGCAACTGCACCGATTGCAATCGGCTAATTAAATTAAGGCTTTCCCAATCGTTCGAGGTTAGTTAGATTAATTAGGCCTACTTAGCTTAATTAAAATCATCCCATTTAATTAAAGTCATCCCATTCAATTAAAGTCATCCTATTCAATCATAATTTAAGTTATCGCTATTTATTATAAATACCTACCTACTGCATATATCTAACAGAAATTTTATATTTATCCTCTAGGAGCGCCTACAATGGACTTAACCTACAGCAGGCTTTTATATATAATAAAATCTATATTATTTTAAAGCTAAAAAAATATTCTTTTATATATTAATTACATAAATTTTACTAAAGCATTATAAAGTAATTTATAATTATTATAGTTAAATAACATTAAAAAGCAATAGGTATTTTTTATAAAGTATATTAACGCTATAAAATCAACATTATAATATATAATACAAGTGCAGAAAAGCACTAAAAAAAAAGGTTTAACTATATCACAAGGTGGTAACACCAGATAAGAAAAGCAAATTACTAATCGAGTTCAATTTTGACCTTTTGTAGCGTTAGCATTTTATCCCCTTAACGAAGCAAAGCAGGAAGCTACACTTCTCTCAGGCTATATTTATTTAAATAATTTAAATAATTAATTATTAATATAGTTATTAAATTAAATTTAAATTTAAATTTATATTAATAAATAAATTAAACTAAATATTTAGGTAATATAAATAATTATATAATAAATAGAAAATATTAAATAAATTTAATTTAAATATTATATTTATAATTAGCTATTTAAACTATTTAAATAAATATAAAAACGTAAACTTATATATTTAATTTATTATTTTTCAAATAATTAAAAATAATAATTATTATTTATTATTTTTTTATAAAAGTAATTATAAAAATATATTACTTTTATATTAAATAACTATTAATTAATATATAGTCTGTTTTTTAATTTAAAGGTATATACTTAGTTATACTTAATATAAAATATTAAGTTATAATAACTTAACTATTTGTTAATATAAACCTAAAACTTAAAAGTTTATTTTTTAAAAATAGTTAACTTATATTAATATATAAAACTTAATTTTATATATATATATGTATTTTATTTTTATTATTATATTAATTTATTATTTTTATATAATTTTAAAATATAAATTTCTTTTATAAATATATTTTTGTTATTATTTCTTTTATATATATATTATTTTTACTTTATATATATATACATATATAGTATATATTTATTTATTTATTTATTTTATTTTATTTTTGTTATATATTATTCTTAGTTTTTTTTATTTTTTTTATTTTAAAATATCAATTATTTATTAAATTATATAAAACCTTTATATATATAAACTGTAATTTTATTAAGCTATAGCCATAGCTTATTGTAGAATAATAGGATAGGTTTAAAATAAGCTAATTAGAATAGTTATTTTAAAATAGGTTGTTTAAGCTTATAAGGTTTATATATATAAGTAACTTACAAAAAGTCAGTGAGTTGTTTAACTTTAACAACCGATGGATTAAAGGACAGGTATATGGCATCCAGGTTGCTGTTATGGAGCTGTCAATGAAACCGGGTATGCCCGGCGTTGTGCTGGCAAACAGTAACAAAATCATCTCGACTTCCTGTACTGCTTCATCTCTTGTTCTTACGTTAAGCGACGGTATCTTAGCTGCCGATATTCTAGCCTCAATCCCAGATACAGGAACCGTCCTAATTACTAGCAGCGCAACCTGCAATGACGAGAACGCCTATGGATTTTGGCTACTCGGAGGTCGAGCTGACTCGAGTGAAGCAGGTTTTAAGCTCAGCTTCAAGGCAGTTCAAAAGAGGATCTCAGACGTCGGTACTCTTGCGGTCATCCAATACGGCAAAGTTGACAACAGCAAAGCAATATTTACAGCTACAGCAACTAGAGCCCCCACAGCCCCCACTGAACTAGCTGCATCTTGTGCTATCACCAGCACGGCCAGTACCAGCACTATGACTGGTCATTCTGGTATCAGTGCTTCTGCGAGTGTCAGCGCTACAGCCACACACTCTGGGAGCAGTACCACCCATACCGCTACTGGCACTGGCCCTGACCACCCTCTTGCTACAAGTCTATCAGACCTTACACCTGGAGCTCTCGAAGTATACAACTGGTTTATGGAAAATGCTCGATATTCCCCAGATGGTAGTTTGGCCTTGACGCCAGGTGAAGCGAGCAGCGGATGGAGTTTCGGGCACCTGCACAAATAAAGGTGCTTTAACAAGACGACATCTATCTGGACAATCGGTCTTCCAGAAGTGATCAATGCCTATCGATTATGGAGGCAAGGTTCTCCACCATCGTCGTGATGTTGAGAAACTTAAACACCACCTTTACCGTCTATCGTGGGATGAATTTTGTGATGGAACAGCTTCTGATATTCTTGGAACTCTCAGTGAGGTATGTGCGGCATACAGATAACGAGCTGGGAAATGGTGTAACTGACAAAACCAGTCGTACGAAGGTATCCATGCTGGTATTTGCACAGGTCACGGGCTGTACGAGAACCGCGATGCTATCCACTGCTTCTTCACTGGCTGCGGTTCCAGCCACACGATTAAGACGACCACGTACCAGTTCAAAGGCGACTGGCAGGTCAAGATCCCAACTATCAGCCAACCGTTGCTGACCCAAGGACCTGCAAAGACGTTCAGCTGCGTCACATGCTCGTTCAACATGGACAGCGTTATCTTCTCGGGTTCTATAGTCCTACAAATGACAGATAATGGCCCCAGCTCAGCAGCATCAGCTGTCGTAACTCACGGTGTTACGGGTGGCACTACATCTAGTGTTCGAATTCAATCAGACTCTGCCTGGAAAGGATCTTGGGACCACATATTTGATGGTGTTACACTTGGCACGATAACCCTGGATAATGCTTTCGCAATCACGTGAGTGCTTTTGCTTTGCTTCTTCTCCTTTCTGTTCTCGCATGCCAGTCTGAACGGCCAACCACGATGATGACATATAGCTTCTTACAACAAATGCCTAAATAGACCGCAAGTATTTTACAGGATAGGATACCAATTCTGCACCGACTCCGCTGTTGACGTGACAGGTGGAGCAGGGTACAGTTGGGACAATGCATCTATCAACATGAATATCCTCAACCACGCATCTGACTCTAGGAGTAACTGGACGCCCAAGGTTAACTGGATTCTACCAGAATTCAATACGGGGGCGAAAGTAAGCATCAATAGCTTTAGCCAGTGGATCGTTGACCTTAAAGCCGTGGTTCAAGGGAATATGGTCTTTAACCCGAGGATGTTCTCTTCAAACTCCGTGGGCATGTCCTCGCAATACAACTTTGTGGCTACTAATGGTTGTCCGGCTATTCGCTCTCTGTTAGCACGTACGTGAGCAATGATAACTGGATTAACATCAACGACGGATCGTCGCTACCTGTCGTGTTGTCGAGTGGTGAGAATGGCCGCCGAAATCAATGTTTCAATGTTCCTAGCGTTTGGCCAGCTCCCGACGAAATTGCTTCTTTGGCACCAGGCGCCGGAGAGTTTTGCACATCATTAATCCGCTACAATCCA